GATACTAGTACCAAGTCCACCGTCCAAATTTGGGAATTATCATGCATACTATTGGCTCCTGCTCGTTATTAACAAGCTTGATATTAGATGTTATTACGGTAAAACTAAACGAATGAGTGATAAAACTCCAGCACTCTTCTATTGCAGGCCCAACTTTAAAACCCTGGCCAAATAATCCAGTTTTCAATTTTTCATCCATAATTAACCACTATAATAAACGACTTTATAAAGATCAAATTAGTACTCATGTATGTAAAATTAACAATAATAAAATTTGATAAATATTTTTTTTGGTTTTTTGAATATTAGCAACTTTGCATTTATCTATTAATAATCGTATTTAGCGAGTAACAACGCCGGTTTTGCGCGGCTTATTTGCCTCGTCTTTCTCCCAGAGCTTTTCTCCTGTTCTCGTTTTTTGTTTGGGTTTATGGTGGATAGAATACATAAAGATGTCTTACCATCAGATGTACAGACGTACTACTCTTGGTAACACTCTGCAGGAAGCCCTTGAAGAAATGATTGCTCTGAAGCTTATTCAGCCCAAAACTGCTGTTAAAGTGACTGGTATTTTCCAAAGCTAACTCTTCTTAGGTTATCCAGAAGTTCGATCAATGTATAAGCTTGGCTTTAGCTCGACGTGTAAAAAACCGGTTACTAGTACGCGGGCACCTAAATGCCTACCGATTTTGTGATAATGTTTGGACATTCGTGATGAATGACGTAGAGATCAAGGATGCATCCACCGTTCTTGTTGTTGATAAGGTATATAGATTCTGAATCGATTTATTTTGCGAAAGTCTTGCTGCATCCTTTTGCTTTTTGTTATTTTACTGATCACTTTCGCCGTTTATATGCTTGGACTCAAAGTAGATGCTAAAATCTCTGTTAGAGCTTGCTAGCATTGGCTATATGATTTGGCCTTGTAACTGAATTATGTCTTGCGAAGTTTAAAAACTCGGCACGACCTATATTTTTGCGTAAATTCTATCGCACGGTGTCCATATAAGTTCAGGCAGAATTGATTCCCAACTAGATTTATACAAGTGTGAGTAACCTGATAGATGTATGCTCCTTTTGTAATGTCGATAGATTATTATCTGCCTTTTAATTCTTTATCTCACCTTACTTCGGATGAAAAGGTTTTGACATTAGAGTTTAATTTTGTTAAGCCTTTTTGTGCTGAACACTTGCGCTTCTTTGTTTGGCACTACTTTCAATTTTTCTTATAGTTTCTGGTTTTATTAGTTAAATATCTTTTTTACTTTGATTAGCATTGTATTTTATCAGCCTTATGCGCGTACAC